TCTATCTATCTATCTATCTATCTATCTATCTATCTATCTATCTATCTATCTATCTATCTATCTATCTATCTATCTATCTATCTATCTATCATGTTGTTTTCAATTAACACATTTTGAATTGTAATTTTAAATGCCATATTCAGCAGYRTTAGCAACATTCAYATTTGCTTTTGTCGCAGGATGATGATGTCACAACAAAAGCCGTGCACCAACAGCAAAGGCTGTGTTCCATTCAAATATACTTAAATACAAGCTTTATTATTAGCCACAAMATTTACATTTAACTTTTACATTTAGATTTAGGATTTAACRTCTASATTTATCATTTAGTAAAATTAGCAAAATGTAAGAACAGAGAACTAAAATGTTAGTGGGGATTTTTGACTAGGATTTTACACTCAGAAAGTGAGTTAAATAATAAAAATGTCAAAGTGACATTTCTTTAACAATTAATTTGACACTTAGTGCCTCATAATTATACTGTATGGATTTTTTTGGTAGGTTATGGATGTTTTGTTGGTTTAATGTGACTCACCATACACTTATTAGGTTTCTCTCCAGAATGAACTCTCATGTGAATGAGCAGCTTGTACCGGGCGTTGAAAGGCTTATAGCGACGAATGCAGCCGGCCCAGAAACATGTAAAGTCCTCGCCTTTGCGTTGGTCGATGTGAACCTTCTCAATGTGCCTCACAAGCTCCTCCTGCTGCTCGTAGGCAGCACTGCAGTCGATCCAGCGGCACATCTGATTATCGGCCAGCATCCTTCCTCCGACCTGGTCTCGCTCTGAGGCTGCATGCAGCGCAGGAAGGTCTGCAGAGGTCGGTTTGAGTCCCAGTGAGGAGGTTTGTGCYGTGTGCTGGTTCTGCAGCGGCTCCACGTAACTGGTGCCCTGGTATTGGTGTAAGTGGTAAGGAGGAGGCATGGCGGCTCGGGTAGGGTGGGAAGCGTGATGATGGTGCCCAATGCGGCCACCCAGGTGATGGTGATGATGATAGTGGTGATGAAAGAGTTCGTCTTCACTTAGGGAGAAGTCATCGAGGGGTTCCTGCTTGAGGGCAGCCCCGGATATTTGGCCCTCATCCAGGAAACACCCAGCTTCAGGCCCTGAATGCAACATCCCAGACATCATCAGTAGCCCMAACCCGTCTGAGCCTCTTTCTCCACCCACTCCTCCCTCCACGGCTCGCTCACCCACACGCCCTCGGAGCATGGAGACCTGCTCCCCGCACAGCCCCAGGCTCTGCCCCAGACCCGGCTCTGGCTCCACGAGCGATCCTGAGGAGGAGGATGGGGAGGAGGATGAAAGGGACAGGAGGCAGGTGGCAGGTGAGGACAGCTGATAGCTCTCCTGTAGCGTGGCCTGCTGGGGGCTGCCGTGCGGCGGGGGCCTCCAAGGGTCCTCGCGGGGGCAGCAGTTAGAGGGTGGGGACGTCGAMGAGGTGGAGGAAGAGGACGAGAAGCCGGCGCCACTGGTGTGGCTGGGCGAGAGGTTAGTGTGGAACCCGTTGATGCAGGCGACCGCCGACATGTGGGAGGAGGAGCAGATGATTGTGGTGATGTCGATCTCCTCAGAAGCCGTGCCAGGAGCTGATGGGGAAGCTGTCGATGCGACGCTGCCGATGCCGGCGGCGGCGACGGAGGACTGTGACGCCAGCGACAGGCAGCGTCTCTTCACACTGCTAGCAACGAGCAGCCGCGCTGAATGATGGGAGCCGGCTGGGGACAAAGCCAGCGGGGAGGAGCCACCTTCATTATTAAAAGGTTGCACTGCGTCCTCTGACACAAACACGCCACTGCTGCTGCTGMTAACACGCAGCGTGTCCACCGTCTCGTCTCTTGTCACTTCCAAAACTTGGCCGGCCCTACAGGCTTGAAATCCTGTCTGGGATGTACCGCGGACACCGGGGATCTTGTGGGCCACTGAGTTCTCTTGCTTGATTGGGTAAGGGGCACAGGAGCGAGCCCCGTGAGTGCTGCAGCCCAGGCTGGGTGAGGCCTTGAGCTGGGCCGTCTGGAAGGAAGAGGCACTTCTGTAAGGAGACAAACACAAAGAGAATGTGAGCTCTTAGTATCTGCTGACAGACCGACTGGTTCATCTTTCCCACAAACGGCACTTTCAAGAGTTTTGCTTCATGCTCCAACATTCATCGTGAGGGATWTACAGATCAATGAGCCACTAAAAGATGCACTAAAATTGTGCTACAATCAAACTACTTATGACCTAGATTTGTTTTATGAAAACATGGAACTGGATCCGCTTGTAGTGACAGGATATGAATGAGCATTTAAGTCTAAGAATTGAAGGGAGGGGTGGGGAGTATGGGGGGGGGGTGCTTCAGAAGCCAAGAGGCCACTGGCTGCTGTGTCCATCTGACAGGCTTTGATGACACAAAGGGGTTAAACCCAACCCAACATCGGGGATAAATAAGGAGTCACCTGTTTTGGTGGCATAATTGCAGCCTATGAAGGCTCACCGTTTACAATACTGTGTATTATGGTGGGAATCTTTGCCCCGCTGAATGGGGAACCCGGGTCATGTTTCTCCATGCATTGCTGTGATCTCCGACATAATCATTTTTGTCAGTTGGCTCATTATGGATTTTATCCAAAGCCTCTGAGTGATGTGAGAAGAGCTCTCTGTTCTTCAGTTTGTCTCATGCAGGTATCATCTTTGTCTCCTCCCCTGAGCACACCAGGAGAAAAAAGAAAAGAAAAGAAAACACAGCTAATGCTAGAACTGGAGAAAGGTACTGGCAGGCTTTATCATTGCTGTTAATAAAGACTTGATCTCCTCCCTTCTTTTTCTATTCAGATTCACTGTTTGGCTGAATGGACAATATTGCGAGACAATGTGAGATAAATGAATGTCAGAATGACTGAGGATAGAGAGAAAAGGAAAAAAGGAAGTGAAATACTAAGAAATCCATGACAATGTTTTTTAGCTGGGCAAAATGTAGTCAGACTGGACATTAAAAAATATTACCGGGACCTCTTTTCTTAGTTGCGCAATATTAAAATTAGAAACATTTTGTCATAAAATGATGCAGAAAACTGATCCACGTCATTACTAAGCTGGACTATTGTATTTTTTTATTGTTGAGATAAAACCCTTAATAACTGCTCTAAAAAGTCTTCAGTTGATCCAAAATGCTGCTGCTAGAGTTTTAATGAGAGTTGGAAGGAGAGATCATATTTCTCCAGTTTTAGCTTCTCTCYACTGGCTCCCTGTCAAATTCAGAATATAATTTAAAATATTACTCCTAACATACAAAGCTCTTATCATCCAAGCTCCATCATATATTAAACATCTTATTTGTTCCATACTTTCCTAACAGAGCACTTCGCTCTCAGACTGCAGGTTTACTTGTGGTTCCTSGAGTTTCTAAAAGTAGAATGGGAGGCAGAGCTTTCAGTTATCAAGCTCCTCTCTTGTGGAACCAACTTCCAGTTTCTGTCCRTGAGGCTGACACTCTGTCTACTTTTAAGATTAGACTGAAGACTTTCCTTTATTTGATAAATCCTATAGTTCGGGTTAAGCCTGGTTTACATGGTAAAATATTTAGGAGGATTTTTTACCCGAATTTTTACCCGATTTTCCCCTTGCGATGATCCTAAGGGTTGCCCCAATTATGGTGATGGCTCTAAAGGTTATCTGAAAAGATATTTCTGCTTACAAGGACTTTGGAACTGCTCCAATTTCAAATCAAGGATATTCAACATGTTGGATTGTCTTGGCCTGATATTGCAGCATGTGTGGTATTCCCCGAAAACAAATGAGCATGCAGCCTGTCGAATAGGACGTGTAGCCAATCAGAAATCAAGCTGACRAAAACACGGAGGAGAATCTTAAATACAGAAGACAAAACAACTGCCATTGTGCACCAGAAGGTCCGCTTGATGTTGGAGAGGTCTTTTTGTTTTTTCTCTGTTAAAAATAATTCACAAACTTAACACCATCGCTTCTTCCTCCTCTGCCGTGYACTCAAAAGTCACGTTTGATCTTGAGAGGAAATCTGAATGTGGTGTGTTATCTTTGCCGTGTGGCTGTACATCACACATCATACAACCAAACCTGTTACATTCATGATTTTTAATTGTTGTATGGGGGATCTCTCAGGTTTTGAAAATCAACCTACAATTTTAAAATGTTTGTCGTAAGAACCAGGCATAGCTTTCCAAAGTCATCCCTTACTGTATGCTGCTACAGGCTTCGACTTCTGGAGGCCAAACTGACCACATTTCATCACAGTCTCTCTACACATGTTTGTTATACAGTTATTGCTATCATTAACCCC